CGGCGATGGGGTCAAAATGCTCGTATGATCGAGGGCTTTTCAATGAATCTATCAGCAGGTTCTTATTCAAAAAATCGAGCGAGTTCGTGGTGGAGCGGTTGGAGAATCTTTATTATCTTATAAAACTGAAACAGTAAATCAATCACATATTTCAACTGAGTTTACTTCATATCAGAAAGTTTTAATATCTGAATCTTTTTCTGATCAGAGTATTGCACTCAATGATCAATCATCTGATATAATCAAAGAGTCTGAATAGCTATCTTATATATTAAATTTCACTATATTCTAACATTCTGTATCATATTCAGTGATATGACTGATTTATTTATTTATTAAATATCATAGAATTATTGTTATTATTTAGAGAAGATACAAATCATATTAATAATATTTTAAATCTGTGATATTTAATTATAGTCATCTATTTAAAATTAACAGTAGTATTATCAAAAGCATATCAAAAATAATATCAAAAAGTGTTATTAAAAAACATTATCTTTTATAAAGTAGATATAAAAGTTACTTGAGTAATCACTTTTATCTCATTCTCATCTCAAGAATCAGTTATCTCATTATTCTTCATCTCAATGTTAAGGTTCTTTATCAGTGTTTATATTACAAGTTGAATCACATGAGTAATGTAGAGAATATGATCTTGTTTATTATTTCAGAAATACAAAGTCAATTTTTGCTTTAAACTCTTCATCATAGTATAGTTATTCACAGTATTATCAGTTATAATTATAAGAAGACTGAGACTAATATCTCAATAGTCATTTTTAATCACAGTTATTAATATCTCTGTTATATAATCCTCAGTATGACTACTGATCAATGATTCAAATTCAATTAATATCTCTTAATAAGTTCAGTTCTCATCAATGTAATAACATATAACTCTCATAAATGTAAGATTGTTTATACTAGTTTATATATTTACTGTGAGAGATACTCTTTAATGATTCTTCAACTCTGATTCTAGATATTATATATTAACTTTGTAGTATATCTTAAGATTGAACTGAAGACAGAATTAATATAAAATATAAAGATTTGAATTAAGCATTTAAAGAAGTGTTCAGAATTCAGAGTTTTCAATTGATCAAAGAGAAAGATTCAGAGATATACACATGCAAAGTAATTATTCACAGAAGTTATTAGATAAGAGTTATAAAATCAGAGTACTGATATATGATCATTTTCACATGATTTTCTTCAAATTAGAAAGTTAGTATTATTAAAAATTATTATCTGATAGAGTAACTTATCAGCTCAGTAGTAATTTTCTGATTATTTTTCTTTTATTATCTGCATTCTGATGACTTCAGATGTTAAAAAATTTCTTCAGAACTATAATCAGTTTATGATAAATATTTCTGAATAAAGTTATAGTGATTGTAGCAGAGAGATGACTCTTCAGTAATTTACAATGCAATCTGTTAATAATTATTCTATAGTTTATCTCAATATTTGTGTTGAGTTGTTCATAAATTTTGTGACCTGGAATGAGATGTGAAGAATGAAGTGATTATTTATTATAATTGAAAGAGAGTATTCTGTATTGAATTGTAAATAATATAGACTTTATAATTCACAGTGATTTCTTGAAGAGTTTATGAATCTTTAATAGAATTAAAAGAAGTGAAAGAAGTGAATTTTTAGAAGATATAATAATAATTTAAGAAAGATGATAATTTATTTTCAATAACTGATCACTGATGTGTGTAAGAAGAATTAATATAAGAGAAAATAATCTTATTTCTTAGCTTAGTTATAATTTTAGTACTAACTCAGATTGAATATTATCAATGTATAAAAGTAAATAAACAATCTTGATTAATCTCATGCTCAGGCTAGACAACTACAGAAGGTGATCAAGTTCAAACTTGGAATCTCAAACACAGTTTAAAAAACCTTGAAAATTCCTAGCACAATCACTGACTCTTTATCTTACTCTTCTTCTTTCTTTTTTCCTACTTCTTCTTCTTCTTTGAATCAGAAGAAAACATATGCTCAAGCAGCTGAATCTGCTGTCTCTAAACCTGCTGTCTCTAAACCTGCTGTCTCTAAATCTGCTCAAAATCCTGAGAAAACTGAGAAGAATACTGCTCATGCCTCTATTCATAGAAAAGTGAAAAAGAAAATGTAAAAAGAGAAAAACTTTCAAATCTTCAGAAATAGAAGACTTATTCTCAAAGTCTCAAATCAGGACATTCTGCAAAGAAACAGACTAAACTCAAATCTCATTTTCAGAATCAGAAATGAAATTAATCAGCAGTTCTTTTCTCAGTTGATGACTGATATTGAAGTTCAAAAATCAGTTATAACTTCAATTGAGTCATCATTCTTTGAAAACTTCATTATTCTGACTACAATGCCTGAATTCAGTGCTGAATTCCTTATTCAGAATGAGAATCTCTGAAAGTCAGCAGTAGAATCTTTGCTAAACATAATAATTCTATCTGAAAGAGATGAAAAGTGAGATAAATTCATTCTTTATAATATTTCAGTTGAAATTTTTGACTGTGAAGAAGAAATACTACTTCTCAAAAATGAATTGAAAGAATACAACTCTATTCAACTGAGAAAGAAGCCTGTATAACTAAATTCAATTGAGTTCAGATAAAGCAGAAGAAATGTCTCTGTTCTAGTATATATAAAAATACTTGAACAGTCAAAGATCTCTGAAGTAAGAGTAGCAGATTTGAAAATGAGAGTTCATGAATACAAAGACTCAAGAATGAATCTCAAAGCTCAAACACAGTGTTCAAACTGTCAAAGATATGAATACTTTGCAATCTCATGTTTTAGAGACTCAAAATGTATATTCTGTGCCAGAGATCACAAAACTAGTGAGCATAAATGTGAAATATGCTTAAAAAGAGATGAAATATGTCAACACACTCTGCTTAAGTGCTCTAATTGTAAAGAAAAACATATATCTAGCTCAAAAGAATGTATGTTTGCTCCTAGAACTCAAAAGAACTGGAGAAAAGATGAAGCTTAAAGTCAATCTAGAACTGAAGAGAAGAGTCAAGCCAGTAGACTTATAATTACAAGCTTAAAAAGAAGAAACTCTCAACTATCTAAATCTTCAAACTTCAATTCTCCAGCTAAATGTAAACAGAATTTGAATTCTCAAACAAACTCCTGTTAAGATTAGAGAATTGAGAAATGACTCTGATGATAAACTAGATATAATGCAAGTAGTTGAGATTCCTACTTTTCAAAATAGTTATAATCTACTATCTGATGATAGTGACTAGATCCTACTCTATCTCTACTCTCTTTTAGTATGAATATACAACAAAAACAACAAAGAAAGTTTAAAAACTCTTCAAAAATCACATTTATTCAAAATAATGTGAATAGAAACTCAAATTATATTTATTCTTATCTTCAAATTGCATTTAAATAAAAAGTTGATTTTATACTACTTCAGGAACTGAATTTTAATACTGAGTAAAATTACATCATTTCTTATTCAAGCTACTACTACTTTCTATCTCAAAAGTCTGAGATAAAGTCAAGAGTAGTGATCTATGAAAGAAAGAGATCAAGATATTGTGATTCAAAGGTTGCTTAAGCCAGCGTACAATTACAGGCGTACGCCGGCTTCTTATATATTGAATCTTGTATGCTAATTTAATTAGCGGCCACTATGGCCCCTTTACACTCATATGCGTACGCTAGTAGTTCAGAAGCGGCCGCGGTATTATCCGACGGTTGTACATTCTTCTGAATCACATCCTCCCCCACCAGATTCGGTCACGCTCACGTGACCATGTCATACATCCTAGCTTCATGCAGATTAGCTCGCCACTAGCATTTTATGATTGTGTGACCTATCTCTGATTTGACTAGTGTCCTGCATATGCTCTCACAAAGAAACTTTCACTATATTACATCACTCATTCACTAACTTTTCTCATTCTCCAACCATCTTCTTCATTCCATCATCATCGAATGCTACCATCATTCAAGATTCCTACCCCTTCTCCTGTTCAACTCTTTCTATCTGTCCATCTATCACATCATACGCGTTCCTGGCAATGACACCCTGTATTCACAGCAAGCATCATGATAGCAACATGCGGTCAGTTCATTAGCAGGATGTGTCACACAGGGGAACATGATCAG